TGAAGCTAGAGAAAAACCGAGGTCAGCGAAAAACCAGGAAAAAAGCAAAGCTAAATTGTAGCTTGCGTACTTGGAAAAGCGTTCATAGCAAAGAGCGTTCACCGTAATACGTAATCTAAATATCTTTCAAACTTAAAGAAAGTCATTGTTCTGCCACTACGGTAAAAATGTTCCTCGTCTTTTCTATTTGGCAAAATAAAAGTAGCAATTACTCACTGTTTTCTGGAACGAGCTTTGGAGCCACATTTTTTATGGTTATCATTAATAAGGTCTAGATTTGTGTAACTACAAGAGCAGCTTATTCACAAGAGGTTCGGTGCTGTTCAATACCCAGTTGTAGCCCTTTCGCAGTAGACAAAATGTTCAGACTATACAGAGGGAAAGAGGGAGAACCTCAACTTCTAAGGACTGGATTGAAGCATGCGTGGGTGTCTCTGTGTCATGTGTCGCACTGCCATAGAGCAGTGAGACATGTCAACCTCGTGGCCACGGAAATGCATATTTTCCCCTTTTTCTCAGCCAGCAGCACTATTCGTTGACGTTTTCCTAGAGGAAATCCGCTGACACCACTCGCATGGGTTTCTTTCTCATGCAGTCAGTCTGAAGATTAAACTGGAATTCACATAGGCCGAACAACATCTGTTGATACACCAGGCAGAAGCTTTGGTGAACTTTCTATTTCCTAGCACGACTGGTGGCATCAGGTTTTTTCCCCCACAATGCAATACTTGATTCAAGTCGAAAGGTGAATTGAATTCGGCGCAGTTTGACTTGGTAGGGGCGGCATTTCGCTCATTTCCATTGATCAATGCTGATGCCTCTTGTGGATACCTGTGAATTCCTGAAAAGCTGGCAATAGCATGAACTGTGTTCACACTTAACAAGAATCTGCAGATCTCACCAGGATAAGACATGTGATTATTCAATTGAACTAGGAATTAGCAAAAGAAACTAGCAAAAGTGCAAAATACCCTCGCTCCCAAGCGGAATAGCGCGAGGATCCCACTCCTTGTCGTATTTCGAGAGGAAAAGAGCTCCTTGCGACAGCTCCTTTCCTCTCGAAATACGACAAGGATTTTTCTCATGACATGGCTTGGAAAAAGAAAAATAACAACAATGATACGATTTATCATTGAGAAATGAAAAAGAAGAAAGGGAGGGGCGGAGTTTTTATTTTGCGACCGACAGAGTAACCAAGCATCAAAAAAAAACTGATGACATAGTTTTTCCGTTTTCAAAGTTGCAGCTGGGTGTTGATATTCAAGATGGCATCTGTATTAAAACACATGTTATCACAAGAATGCTGAGTTATGGGCAAAAGTCGTGCCCCAGGCGGGAGTCGAACCCGCACCTCACGCTTTCCGGGCGAGTGCGCTATCCGTTACGCCACCAGGGCCTATTTTACCCTCTCAGCTTAACGGCTTATGCCGTAACCTTACAGCACTCACACGTTTAACTTGGTGAGCCGGTCAGCCGTAATCGTTAGATATCGGCATGGAACCGCGAGGCCGAAGGCTTTACAAGGATTTTTTTGCAAGCTGCTTTCGTTGGATAACTGCTGTTTTACCCCGCAGTACGCGTTACGAAACTTATCACAAGAGTGCTGAGTTATGGGCAAAAGGCAAGGTGGCGTAACGGATAGCGCACTCGCCCGGAAAGCGTAAGGTGCGGATTCGATCCCGCCTGGGGCCACCGACTTATTGCCATTAATTCAGCACTCTTGTGATTTAAACTTTCGTCAACGCGTACTGCCGGCCGTAAAACACGCAGTTATCCAAAACAGCAAACAGGGTTCAAGAAACATTTTTCTCGATAAAGACTTCCATATGTAGGGTTCCTGTACTGGGATTAGGTGCCACCCTACAAGCCTTGCCCATATGGTGACACAGCTATATATGTGATTATACGTGGATTAGGTATGCTACATTTCCAAATGATAAGTGGTGAAATGCTTGCAAAAACTGAAGTATTTTTTATCAAACGTCGTTAATACCTTTGCAGGGCCGGTTTCACTGGTTTCGTGATTAACACGATCATCGTTGTTTATATTCGACGCTTGCCGATTTTTCGAAACCCCTTTGGACGCCTACTGCAATTACAGGTTAGTGCCAAAGTTGGGAAACGGAACTAGGTATCGAGAGTTTTTTTGCCTATCAACTAAAATTTCTTACGTTCGAAGAGTGCGATTTTGAAAAGCGCAGCAGGTTGATGATGATTCATTTCAGGCAATTGGAGATGCCACATTTTCGGGACTATGGGCATTTTACTTCGCACCTGCATTAGAGTTGTGAGTTCTCAACGGAATAAGCAATTTCAGCTCTCACTTCGGTCGCTTTTTGAATACTGTGAAAAAGCATGAGCTTCGCAGCACTTAGCCACTTGAGCCTTGAATGACTACCAGCTGCACGTCGCTAAAACATCATTTATAAAGAAGGGAAATTAAAATTATGATGGCCTTGAAATGGCAGTCAATGACTTTTTCAAGTCACTGCCTACTTATTTTTCAGCAAAAGGCTACAGTGATTACTCAAGGGGCAGTGGAAGTTCACTGTTTCCTTTTGGTGAACACATTGTTAGAGCATAGGGCATCTGAAGAAATTTACCAGAAGTTTCAAAGAAGATTTCGTTTTGTTGGCTAACTTTCTTGCTAGCCGGAAGACAATGGTCAGGTAGGTTAGCTATTAGGCATCAAGACGCTACGAGAGAAGGTTCAAGAGAGAAGAAGGTTCTCTTTCAAGACAGCTGTCTTCCTTGATCCTTGAATTGTATGACCACGTGACAATTTGAACCCCAAAACGGTGTTCGAGATGTGAGGATTCGACTGAATAAAACCCGATAATTCAGTGAAATTAAAGCGCTCCAACACCAGTCTGTGGCCGCTCGACTCGGACAACTCTTTGTAATATGTTTTAATATATCTCTTTATTCTCACTTGATTATTTCGTTGAACAGGTTAGTTCGGAAATGAAGCCTAACTTTGATTTAGTGCATTGTTGCCGATAAGTTCAGCGCAAACACACAAGGATTGAGCGGATTTTTCAAGCGAATTAGACCGTTCTTCCATGCAAAATCGGTTGATTTCTGTAGCATTCAGGTTAACCCCACTCTATATTGCCCCGCGCGTACTACCAAGCTAATTTTTACCAAGACTGTCTTTTGTCAACGTGGTCAATTCCGTTTATTGGCAGCTGTCGTGTTCTGGCACACCTCTTTTTTTTAGCGAGTGATACGTACTGTAATTATGTAATTATCCATTAAACTTGATTATAAGGCCAGCGTTCAGCTATGATGCGCGTTCGTCGCACTGTCGCAAAACACATGCGGCAGCGTTCAGGCTTCGCGACGGCAGCGCTTCAGGACGCGTTCGACGAGATCGATGCGCATGCTTTCGACTGCATCGATCGCGTTGAACGCGCCGCCGAAGGGCTGCTGTAGCGAAAAGTATGAACTCTGCCTATCAGACTGTTCGCGGCTCGAAAGCGCTTGTTAAAAGCACGAGAGCTCAGCAACGATAAGTTGACTCCGGCTCGATCACTTTTTTATTATTCGTTAGCATTGGTAATTGCATTTCTTATCGAATATGCTTCGGAAAATGTGTCGCAGCAGCGGGCTGGGCTCGATCCAAGATTACTCGGCCTAAGTTTCTTAACTCATCCATTTTCAATACGTACTTGTGGTCTCCTAAGGGCATTTTGGACGGTTTCTTTGCTTTTTTTTCCTTTGGATACGTTCCCTTACCACATGACGTAATGATTCTGACAATGAGTCCTGCAACATCGCGAAAAGGCGATAGCGCAGTCGTCTAACAAACACAGATTTTTAGATAGGGTGGATCTTCACGAACACTGTGAACATACCTGTTCGTTATGGACAAGGCTCATACCTTTCTGCATAGCTAACGGACGCTGAGGCATGCTGCGCGTCCGCGAAGTGATGCCAATTGAAGCTCTCAATGAGCAACGTCTCTTTTTCTCTTCCTCTCTCTCTCCTCTTCTCCCTCTCTGTTTCCTCGGCTCTACCCTCTTTCTTTCTTCTCATCTCTCTTTTCTGTTTGACCGAGAAAGACATGCGTCTTTAGCAGGGCATACCATTAGCGCGTGCGGGATTATCCAGCGGGGGTGGGGGGTCGTGGGTGGGGGGGGGGGTAGTTGCGTCTTGCGAAATTTTACTTCGATAGCATGGTTCTCTGCTTCACGGCAGGGCGAAGAGGCCCGTCGCCATTCGCCTACCTAGACAAAATTTGCGGGCGAGTGGAAAAAAATTTCCCTGTTGTCGGACTTTTTCGCGGGTTTTCTCTAGTATGTGCTATCATACCTTCCTCCCCCCCCCCCCCGCTGACAGCAAATTTCGGTCAAAAGCTGAAAAATAGTTTGGGAACAGTGGTTTGATAGGCATAGATAAAGAAGCTGCGCGTAGTATATTCCTCGGTGCGTTTTCCCCGCCTTGCACATGTGCTATGTACCCTTCTCAAACAGCTCGATCGTTAGTCAGCAGCGACCTGGAAACTAGCGGAGAGTCCAACAAGCCATACTTTTATAGCACGGGGGGGGGGGTCGGGCTCGACAAAAATCCCCGTCTAAAGATGTGCCTTGGTGGAGTATGAAGGCGGCAATTGGGTTTCACTACCCTTCACACCGTTCCTGTGCACTTTTGAACGGAGAAAGTGGGCACGAGCCAAGTGTCTTCGTGCAAAAGCAGATCGAGAAAGCGCGCTCGAACTTTATAGGAGAACTTCTTTTGTATTACAAACAGAGGAAAGGTTTTGAAAGGCCCCAAATCGGAAATGCCAGAAGGCGTTACGGCGTTCAGCATGAAACAGCACAGGGTAGCATCATTACTAGTGTACTGCTTGGTAAGCGAGAGTACCTTCTCATGGTCTTCGGTTTCTAGGTTGTCATGCGAAATGGGATTTTTTCAACACAAACTTTGGATGATTGGAATATATCACCCCACCGTGCACCGCTGCCCTCGTCTATTATGCGGAGTTCCTTCGCTCATTCATGGTGGTCTCGATTCATGCCGTCGCTGATACCCTAACCTTCATCAGAATGACTTGCCATAATAGAAAAGATGTAAGTGCAATAGTTAGCTACAAGACATTGTGCACAGAAATCATTCATTTATTCACTTCCTCAGACTTCTGCGACAGGATACACTCGTTATCGCTGCAGACGCTGGTGCATGTCAGGTGTCCGGGTTTAGACGCCAGCCCGTTCTTCAGCGTTCTCGAAGCGGCCATAAGCTGACAACCTTTGCTGGCGCCGGCGCAGATAAATTAGCCTATCAGACACGCCCTCAAGTCTGCATCGGCAAACGGCTATTCGCCGCATATTTTCCTTATATCTTTCAGCCCAATATCGTATCTAATTCAGCAGAGCAAAGGAAAAGGCGTCGCGTCGAGAGGAGGTTTGTCAAACAGGTATGATTGGTCTTACTCTTACGTAAAGTTAGTTTCAGAGAAACAGTTAGGGCTACTAATAAAGTTCTGCCTGGCAACCTCGTTGGCGCAGAGGTATAACATCAAATTTACGATAATGCTGAGATTACACGAAGAGAGGGAATCTGCGAACTCGTTGGAGCGTGCAAAGAATGCGATAGCTGGAGGCCTCCCGAACCTACCGCATCCACAACGTGCGGCTATGTTCGCCGAGATACAGAACTTGCAACGTGCAACAGCACAACATGCCTATTCCGGCCCAAGGTTACAAGAACAATCAAACGGTTGTAGGACGCAGTCAAGGCCGCTTATCGAGTAGTTTTATTGCCTGGTTCCAGCGGTTACGTTGCGTCTGCGTGCCACTGCTTCGTCGCGTAGATTCACGATAGCCATTTCAGCCCATACCACCACTTTTCGAAACCTAATTTCGGCTCCCACTATCGCTGGGCCACGAAATGCTGGCCCACTTCTACAGCTGTGGACCTATGCACCCCGCAGAAGGCAAGGAACAGCGTCCTTTAAAGGCACGTTCCGCGATAAACTAAGGCTAGATCCTTATAAACGTGCATGATGATCAAGCAGGCAACAGTAGAGGATATGCTGCTTTTAAAAGTTGAAAATCAGTAAGCAGAACACACGACGCTCATGTTTTAGGCCCATTGGCGCCCGATAGGCCCATGCCGGCCTCCAGTGACCGTGTCGTTGTGAGACTGCCATTGCGCTCTCTCGCCCGTCGTTTTCTGGCCTCTCTCGTCTCTTATCAGTGTCTCGCCGCCTTTCGCCCCAAATTCCCCCAAACCCGAAATATAAAAAAAACTGTTCTTGACCACCTTATGCTCGTCCGGTGATCATGATCAATTGAAATAAAGAGGGTCTTATTGTGGGCGCTTTTTCGTGGTTCCTTCTCTTCAATAAGTCAACAATCACAGGGCAATTCTATTTTTGAACTGTATTACCTATGAAGTGTGGTCGCGGGAATTGCCTTTAAGCATGAGCGTACAACATATTTTTTGTGTTATTTCACAAAGCTTTTGCAGTTGAGCAAGTACTTTCTCGTTCTATGCTGCTGTGTTTTCAGGTGGCATTACAAGGAGTGGTATTCGTTACTGAGCTGGTTTCATACTTTTACGTCGACGACTTCTTCCCTCTCACCAAAAAAGACGACTTGGAACGTGATCCAAACAGATGGCCGAACTTCCTGTGCACCACCTTTGCATGGATACTGGTGCCTTTATTCGATGGGTAGGTGAATGGCCAGTTTTGACATAACTAGGGCAACGTTCACGCTTCGCGAGACGTTCCAACAGGGCAGTCATTAGGTGGGGACTTTGCTCGAGTCCGTACGATCCCTGTTTCTTACAGGATTGGTTCACTTCTCACCGAGATGTCCAGCGAGGGAGGGATAAATAGCACATGTGAAACGGGAAAAACCGCCACAAGTCAGTCAGCAACCTTTTTCAGAAAATGACGAGGGAAACACGACCCCCCCTCCCAACCACGAGCGAATACAGCCCCCCCCCCCTTACAACGTCTCTGAAACAAGAAAAATCAAAAAATTTTCTTAGCCCAAATACGATCCTCATCTATCAGCGATTAAATAACCCCCCCCCCCCCCCTTGCTGCGGAATACACCAACAACGATGTGCCCTGCGCTTCAATGCATTGACGAGAACTCACCCGTAGACGTCTATCGATGGCGCCCACCACTAAAGTTTTGAGAGAGTTTTGGATAGCATGTAGGAGGGTAGGCGTTGCCGCCGCTAGTGTTTGGCTGTACAAGAATAAGGAGCATAGCAGGCTGTGTGACAGGCTAAAGACGTTCTGTAGTCAAACAGATGTGATATTCGTGTTCAGAGGGTCAAATTCCCTGAGCACTAGTTTATGGCCTTGAGACTCTGGCCTGAACTTTGAATTATCGGTTAGTAATGCGAAGGGAACATAGTGTCCAGATCTATATCTGCCATGCCAGACACTTGACGTAGCTTTGCTTGTTCGTTAACTTGGAGGAATTTCAAAAAATGGATCAAAAACAGAGAGAAAACTTTTGCAACAACGGGGAACAAACCCTGGCTTTGAAGCGAGACGGTTGGGCTGCGTTACACCAGTGTCTACCAGCGTCCACTAGCATTGTGAGCGTGCAGCTAGGGAACTACAGATAACGATCTAGCGTCGGCCAGCGTCTACCAGCATACACAGGGGGGGGGGCAAAAAAAGTCACTTTTCTTCATTGACTTTCGAGGCGCTATAAGTTACACTTTATTAAATTCTGATCGGACATTTTTACCACCATATTAAAGAGCATATCAAATACTATCATGACACTCCGCCACAGCCTTCTGGACGAGCGCCATCGAGAGATTCTGGCACGCGACCGCGATGTGGTGCCTGAGATCAGCGAGATAGTCGATTTCTCCGCCACCGTAGACCACCCTATTGAACTCCGCCCGAACCGGGTAATTGAGGGGATTCAGGTCAGGTGACCTACTTGGATATTCCATCTTCTTCAGCCCCCTTCCATTCCAAGTAGGCGAGTGTTTCTCCAACGCCCTTCGATTCAATGCTGTAGCAGTACAAAGTTTCCAAGAAGGTACGGGCGACCACGTGTGAGGAGGATATTCTTCACGAGTTGCCCAATGTAACCGCCAGCGCTCACCTTCAGTCCGGGGTCCACGAAGAAAATATTGGTCTTTCCATTCCAGGTACGTCCGGTCCATACCATCAACCCGCGCCTTGGCGACTGCGGTGAAGATGATGTCCTAGACCGTGGCGACGTTGTCGGAGCTGCTCGATGTTGGAGGTCATCCAGATCGAGAGTACTGGTCTCCAGGTAGCTATCCATGGGTGACTCCATACTAGAAGTTTCGCAGCTGTTTGGAGGTGATGTCCAGTCAGGCTGCGACTGGAGATGACTTCATATTTTGGTGTACATGAAGGTGATGGGCGAGAGCCAGCTCCTGCTTATCGAGGAACATCTTGGGTATCTTCCGCCCTGGTACTCGTATCCACGTCCTCTGTCTGGGCAGCGAAAACTTTGCTGATATGTGACTCGGTCGAAGTGACTTTTTTTGGCCCTCCCTGTACTACAACGTATGTTATGTTGCATACCCACACTCTCTACTCTCGGTCGCTGCTGGAGGTTGATAAACGCTGGCAGAGCTAGCTCAATACCCATACTTTCCTAGACCTCGGGACGTTGGCAGACGCTGAATCGTTACCTATACTTTTCTAGTCGCTGACGCTTCCGGACGCTAGGAACGCTAGTGGACGCTGGTAGACGCTGGTGGACGCTGCCGCGAAGTATGAACTCAGCCTTACCAACTGGCCACGGCGGCACTGCTAGCTCGCCGGTCAACTCTATCTTTGACCACCAGAACTCGTTTGGGGAAATCCCGTAGCACTTTCAGTCTGCATATTCGCAATCAGCATTCAAGGTTGTGTGGGTGTTCGCGGGTCTCCATTCAAAGTTCCATGGGATGCTGAAAACATTCCCTTGTGACACGCCAACCACGTCCAGTCGTCATCGATCACTGTCTCGGTGACAGGGCGCAGACGAGCAGCGCGTGATGAGTGACATATCATGCGATGGGCGGAGACATCAGTAACATCACACCAGAGCAGCTTTTTTTGTCGCTCGCATTCTTTTCCTTCGAGCGGTGTGAGGGAGAAATGTGTGCAACTGCGAGCCTGCCCACCTCATACACGGGAAGTATCCCATTTTGGCAATCGAGGGATTTGTTTAAACAGACTAAAGAAGCTAGCGACCTTGTGCTAACTAAGGAATAAAGAAAACCTCTGAGTGAAGTTACCTAAATTGGTCAACCAACATAGAGGTTCATTAACACGTTCCGGCGCGTGACACACATGGTGTGTCATAAATTTGTCTCTATGGGTGTTTTATTTGATCAATTTGGCTCTCCTTCCATGTCCCAGTGTTGTGAAAACACATTCTGGGTTACGGAAGATATATCTCATAAGCGACTCAAATAAGGGAGCAAATTACTCATGAAAAACTTATAAAAAACGATAAAGTGGTCCGGAGATGCGCAGTACGGCGGTCCGCAATGTATTAATGTGCATTCGGTTTTGGCTAAAGCGAAAGCGATTCGACTATGAACGCATTACTCTTTATCC